GGACTTCGAGAGTTGGAGATTCGGGTGGGGCGGTGGACTGTGGTCTGTGGTGTGGTCCGTGTGGAGGTGGAGCCTGGACTTGGAGGAGTGAGCAGTGGCCCAGACTGTCCAGTGGAGCTTCAGCCTTTTCGACTTCTGCTGCTGGGCCTGGGAGAAAAAGGTATTTGCTAGAGACTAGTAGTTCTTAGTTGGCTTGGCTACTGGCTAGTTGGTTGGCACTTGCCTATGATTTATGAATGCTATGAATCTGTGAGACTGTGACTGTGACTGTGATTTTAGGTTTTTTTTATGTTTTTAGTTGTTGTGAATTTGTGAATTGTGATTTATGAGTTGTGACTTATAATTTTGATTCGTGAATTGTGATTGGGGAATTTAGGTTTTCAGGAAACTTAGGTATAAGTGAAAAAAATTAATGGAGAAGATGTTTGGCTCAATTAAATCATGTGTACACTGTTTTTTAATCAATTTTAATTGAAAAATAAATTGAGGCATTTTGCAAATTATGGAGCGATTTTTTCAAACAAAACGAAAGTTCATACCTGGTTCTTCTTTGTTTAGTTGTGCATCTAGTTCCAATTTTTTCAACCGATTTTTANAACCGAAACGAAAGTCCATACCTAGCTCTTCTTTCTCTAGTTGTGCATCTAGTCCATACCTAGTTCAATTTTTCGTTTTAGTGCATTTACTTATGTATTGGATTTTATTTTCGGCTATTACGAACTGTCAACGATCAACGGTCCGCCCCAGCTGAACGAAAATGCTGGATCTGCCCCTGGATTAGGTTAAGTGGTCAAGCCTTCGATGGGCTAGCAAAGACTTGTGAATACAATTTATTTCTTTTCTATAATTCCTACAAACGCATCAAAGGATATCTAGTCCAATATATGATAATGCTAAAAATATAAAAAAATAAAATTTATCAAAATTACATTTTCTAGTGTATATTTGTTGGATAATTGAGGCTTACGTTGAATGAATGATTCATATACTTAAAAATCAGAGAAAGTATCTGGGTTTAATATCACTAAATTGTACTCGATTTAGTGGGCAAATCAAAAGTAAAAAAAAAAATTGGAAAATATGAAATATTAGAAATAAAAGGATTCTTGATCTGTGAAGAAATATTGAAAACTTTAGTTAATCGTTTTTCCAACAAAAAGTAACGTTGAAAAAAAAAAAGCAAATAGTAACAAATTCATGACCTAGAAAAATGAAAGGTCGACAAATAATTGATAAGACATTCTCCTCTTTTGGTCCCTCTTTCTACTAACCCCCACCAAATTCAAGTCATAGACTCCTCTTTTCATTTTTGGATAGTAAAAATAATAACAAAATGTCAAATACAAAAAATCAAAAAAATAAATGGGAACTTTCTTTATCACATAGTCAAAGAAAAATCACGAGAAAGTAATTTTCATACATACTTGTACCTCATGTTCGACTAGACTCGAGTACGGTTCTAAAACTCGATAAGTCGAGCACTAGGAGGTTGATTGTATTCCACATTTTCTATCACTTGCTATCCTAATCCTAGGTGATATTGATTAATGAAGCCCCTATTTAAGCTCCATTATCAAAAAATCTCATTTTTTATCAAATTCATTTTCAATTACACATTCTTTAAATAAAATAATTTTATATATAAATCCAAAATTTTCTTTCTTTTTGACTCACATTCTTCAAAAAAATACTATTACAAAACTTATTTTAACAAAAAAAAAAAAAAGGGACTCGAACACAAGAAATTTGATGCTTTTCCTTTAAAAAAAAATAAATAAAAAATGAAAGGAGTCAATAACCAATGGCCCGTTGAATCTGAGCCGGGAGGCCCATATATCCTACAAATTGAGTCAGCTTCCAAGTCCCAAAATCATATTTATCGAATCTCTCGTTACGTTCCTTCTCACGAGAAATCCCAAAGGTTTGCATGAGATGAGATCAATTATTTTTAACTTTCCATATAATATTTGTTTTTGCTATTAATATTGCAGAATCTACCACTATCTCTTCTGTAAATGCCCACTCATAATGTTATAAATTATGCATTAGTCACTAATATGTGAATTCCTCTGAAACGTTTTGTTTCTGTAGTGTTTAGTTGATGATCTATATGATATGGGTTTTGTTTGAAACCCATTATAATGGATTTGAATAGTTTTAACCAAATAAGGCACCGTTTGGTAACCATTATTCTAGAAAAAAATGTATTTTTTGTGTCAAATCACATCATATTTGTGGATGAAAATGAAGGAAAAGTTATTGATGTGATGGAAAATATTATTTTATTGATGAATGTGTGGTTGAAAATTAGTAGAAG